CTTCTGCCTTTAGCTGACGAATAGTTCTTGGGCGGCCGCGCAAGTAATTTTAGACGGCGCAGTTTCTGCATTTAGTTTGGATGCCCTTTGAGTTTTGTGGAACCTCAGTATGCTCATCATACTGACGGGATTAGAAAAGAACAACTTTCCCGAGCGTGGGGAGAGAACAGTGTTAACTCCCACGGGTGAATTGGAGAAATGGGAGGGGGAGGGAGTTGCGCCCAGCGTTTTGGCAAGAAATTCTCAAGGGGTTGTGCGCTCAATTACACTGACTGCATGCGTTGGCTCATTGCAAACAAATTGCCATTTTCCACAGGAAACTGGCATCAAAGTTCTAGAACATCACCGCTTCCAACATATACTCCTTCGATGTAGAGCCGGCGCGTTATCAGTTAAGCTGCTGGGACCGATGCACACTCCGTGGAAGGGTGTGCACGAAAACTTTGACCCGGTGCACCGTGGCAGTTTGTGTTCTCTAGACAAAAGTATGGGTCATGGATCGGCTCAAGACAAATGAACAACAGTTTATTTGGCACCGGATTGGTTGAAATTGACCTCCCAGTATTCGATTCACAGCTCTGTGAAAAAGCAGGCATTTAACACGTGAACCCTATGGGTTGGTAGGATTGTACGTCGCTGGGCGGTTGTGCTACCAGTGTATTTAAGTGAGGACCACCAAGGTGTGTTCCAGCCACCAAGGTGTGCTCCAGCAATCTTGTGTTGAGGGATCGTGTTCGGAAGAACCCATTCCATGGGAGCACGCGTGTAAGATATTTTGTCATAAGCCAAGCATGCTAATGGATTGGCTCATTAACTCATTTTGTGTGAATCGTTCTCACTGTTCGAAATGGTGAATATTTATCTGCAACCAGAAGCAACTGTGCGCCCCTAAGAAGGACACATTTGGCCATTGGCAGCAGGTAGGTGCACAAAATAATAGCATCAACACTGCAACAAAACACCGCAACGTAACCGTTTAATTGAGATTCATGTCTGTGGTGAACTGAAATTAATAATGCTCTGCCTCGCCAACGTTATTTTCCCCAAGTTTCGCAAAATTCAGATGCCTTAGAAATACCTTGCTTGCTGCACATTGATATCATTTTATGACTCATCACACTCATTTAGCTTTAAATGCAAATCAGACTGCTTTCACGATGTTGGCATCCGAGTATCATTAATGTGTAAGCGCTGTCAAACATATGTATGACTTCTGTCATCATTCTCCTTTCATCTAAGAAGTGGTCGGGTGCCACAGTTGCATATCAAATTGTGGTATGGTCCAATTTTCATTTATCTGATTTATGTGAGGATCATGGCATGCCAACATGCCAACTCTACCAATGTCATCTAACCACCACCAACACCAACGCCAACATATCAACTTCACCAATTCATGTCACCCGACCCCCTGGCACTTGTTGAAATTTTGTCCGCGGGGTTTTTCTCTGGCCTGAACACGATTATGAGGAAAAAATAGCGAGTCTGGTGATCGTTTGGGAACGGCGGGCACTTGGTTCCTTTTCACGTTCAGAAAAAGGCAGTTTCTAAACGGGCGTCGCTAGGTGTTTATCGCCGACCCAAAAAAAATTACCACGCAATGCACTGGAAGCACGGCAAAATGTCACGCACCAATATACTACACAAGTTTTGGGAAACACTCATCTGAATTTTTTTGCCAATTTTCCAACATTAATATTAAATTTCCCCTATAAAAAGATGCGTTATTAATGTTGAAATTAAGATGACTTTGGACACTCGATACGTTTAAGCTTGGAGTCTTGAGAAATGTAGTGGCCATATCCATACCGACTCATCCAGTGACCACCGAGTAGGTTCTTCCACGCGCAGCGGTCGGCCGCTACTCCCCCCCCCCCCCCCCTCAGCACCCCTTCCCCTAGCGTTGGGTGTCTGACGCGGTCTGAGGCGGCACCAGGGTTAGAAGCAGGGGGGCAACCGTTTGTTGACACGTATCATTACCAGCTTAAGTAGGATTTACCCTAAAAAAGGACGACTATCATGCATTTGGGTGTGTTAAGAGGTCGTCGGATGCGCCGCTTATGTACTGTCTTGATCATGTGAGGTTGGGACGGATGCTGGTCAATGCGCCGTCATGCATGTCTATGTAGAGGCTACCGTAAGAATGTTTTGTTCATGATGAATATTATGTCATGAATATTATGAAGAATATTTTGTTGCTGTGTGCGCTACTGAAGGACAGGCCAGAGAAGAGGATATATGGACAGTTCGGTGTTGGAAATGACGTCACAATAACGCACCGCTGATTACCTGCCCCAAGCCAATCTCTGTAAAAAATACACATAGGCCTCTAAAATGTCTCCACACCAGTGAAATCATTTCTGCCGACAGCATTTGTTTATATATCTGAAACACTTTGATAGACGGGCTGATGAAGTTTCACACCGTTTCAGACTGGTCTTGCTGGTCGTCGTGCACATACGGAAATACCCTTTTTATCGATGGCACTCGCCTTAATAAATCTGCTGCTCATGAACCTCATGGTCCTGTCGACTATAAAAAAAAAATGATGAGATGAGAGTGATGATATTAAGAGTATTTCTCAAAACTTCTAATGCGGTGATACCACCAACTTCTTTAAGGCTGAACTTAACTTAATGCAAAGTTCAATCAGATCGCTACCATGAAAAATGTAAATAAAACACTACGGTGTTAAGAACTGCTGGACTGTCGTGAATCCAGGGCAGATTAAAATTGACAGGTCGGCCGACATGGAGTGGACGGAGACCAATAACAACGACGACTAACCATTCTGTCAGCCCCCCCCCCCCCCCTTCCCGTCCCTGCAATCGAAAAATAACATGTAACCCCACAGGCCACTCTTCTTCTCGCTGTCGTGCAGGCCGAACTTTAGCGGGCATACACACAAAGAAATGCTCCTTGCTTGTTAGCTACTCAAAGTGCTCGTTTGATCAAAGAGAGATGGGGGGGGGGGGGAGCGAGTGATGGTTAGTGCTTGAGCTATATTCCTGAACGATCCGGCGGGATCTGGCTCGCGATACAAATGTCGAACATGCCCCTCGGAGTGAGTGATTGTCGAACATACCCCTCGGCAGTCTACCGGCCGAGACTGGCTCGTGCGGTGAGCGTCTTCACTGTTCCACGTAATTCGCCACAAGGGGCTTTTCCTTGGTTTGTTCTGAAGGAGTGCCAGGTACAGGCCATCTCTTAAATGCGCTTTGGTGAAGGCACATGTTCCGAAGGTGATATTAAATATTGTATTCGGTACTTGTATGGAGCGTTGGGTTGAGCTAATCCGGCCGTGTAGATTTGAATTTCCAGTTTGGGCTATCATATCACATGATTGCATCATGTGATATGATATATACATATATATATATATATATATATATATATATATATATATATATATATATATATATATATGTGTGTGTGTGTGTGTGTGTGTGTGTGTGTGTGTGTGTGTGTGTGTGTGTGTGTGTGTGTGTGTGTGTGTGTGTGTGTGTGTGTGTGTGTGTGTGTGTGTGTGTGTGTGTGTGTGTGTTTGTGACAAAATAACTTTCTGCTGCCATTTCCTCAACGTTTTTC